TGTAGGGAATGCAGTGCAACAAAATTCAGCATGACAAAATTCATCTTATGTGCCGGGGAGGGATGTATGTTTGCAGAATACCTAAGTGAGCTAACTCCCACTCATTCTCTCACAGACTTCATTCACTGACTGTCTCATGCCCACATCCCCACAAGCACCACGACATCAGTGCTCGCGTTGTTTGTCCAGAAGCACCTGTGACAAGAGAGGGTGACAGAGAGGAAAGGCAGCCCCAGTAATCAAGCCAGCCCTCATCGTGTCTCTGGGAATCTTTTTTTCTGGTGACAGCAAACTTGACTCCGGACAACTCTTTTATTCCCTGTACAAGTCCATAGCTGTTACAGGAAGGTCCTTTGCTCAAGAGTCTTACTCATCGTAGTCTCCATGCTCTGATTTAGATGCATACTCATGGTGACATTTTTACCTTGCTTTGGGAATTCCAGAATTTCCATATAATCCCATCACACTGAAATAACTTTTGAGTGCTTTCTTCATAATGCAAGAGCCCCTTTAAATCTGGTGTACAGGCCTTTGGAAAAGAGTAAAAGTCCTGGAAAGAGAAATATCATTTGAACATTTGAATGAAAATAATTACACAAAACAAACAAGCTACTGAAACAGATTAAACAGGTCTTACTGTTAAAACTTACGTAAAACTTTATGATATGAAAACTCTTCAAGGCCTGAGTTAATTTATCTGTGTATTGGTTAAACTCAGCTTTGGAGTTGGAAGGGTTAGGCTGCAGAACTCAGAGGTGTTAAATCATTTTGGAAAACAGCATGACTGAAAACAGATGGTGAAAATGCCTGTGAAACAAAAGGTTTCATACCTGATGTCTTGAGCTTAGTTCAGATGCCAGTTCTGCCTTATCAGCTTGTGGGATTTCTGTCTTCCTAGAGGAGACGACATTTATCTGTGGTTGTGCTTGGTTAATTACTGACACTTGAGCCTTCTTGTTTGCTTTAGCTGATGAGGTGTCATCCTCTCTTTTGAGTGATACCATCCCGTGATACTTCATTTTACAGTATCACACACACACAAGCAGAAGATGAGAGGGAAAAGAGAGGGTTAGCACATACAAGCAACTCTTAAATAAACTCCACAAAAAAAAAAAAAAGGCATTATAATACAAATTGTTGCAAATCAAGGGGAAGTGACACCAAAGAAAAAGAAAGATACACAGAAAAATAAAGTATTGGTCATAATGAATTATTAACAGTGATAAAGCCTGCAAAGAATAGAATCAGAAAGAAATCACAGAAATATCTGAGCAATACTCATGATACTCTTACTTTGAAAACCACATCAGTTCCATTTCTAAATACAGATGAAGGACGAACCTGAAAAAGGTAGAATAGCAGAATGAGGTGGGCATATTCATGCATTATAGAAACAAAAAGACTTTATGCAAGGTTTACTACAAGATCTAGGTTACAAACCATGCAGAACATATCTTGGGTTTAGTTCTTTCTCTTTCAGAATGGAAACTGATCACTTCTGAAAACAGCCATTAAAAATCACACATTACAAGCTGTTTATAAACAGATTCCATTAACTTGTAAGATCACAATAGCGGAATGTCACTAGACCACCTAGTTAAACCAATGTAGCTTAAGCAAGAAAAGCAATGGGCAAGTTTTAAGTAACAGTTCCTTGTTTAAGCTAACAGTATTTTCAGCTTTATAACTTCAGGAGCAGATGCACAGCTTCTATACATTGGCCTGGCTCCAGTGACTTCTTTCTTCTAGCTGACCCATAATTTAGACAAGATTAGAAGCTGCATAATTGCTGAAGTTGCTTGATGCATGTTTCCTCCCCCAAATCTGTTTTTCTTCCTCTCTTGCATATATGGATCTTCAAAATCAGGATTTTTTTTTTCTTCCCCCCCTATCCCCCCCAGTATTTTTAAATAGCTCTCAGCTCTGACTCAAAGCAAACTCAGGTAGTTTATGGTTATTGTATGGTCAGGTAGGATCACTACAAAAATATGACAACTAAATGAAGATATCAAATCCCAATGAATTCACAAATCAGTCCATCACTGCACTACAGAAGTGTCTTACTATTGTGCCATTTCCAGTCACTCTCAGCCTGGTCTTTGACTGATTCGCCAAGCTGTGTTCCTGCCGCGGGTCCTCTCCATGCTCTCTCATCCCTTTGGAAGGAAGTAGTGGGATCCTTTCCAAGGGAGTATTGCCAGGCCTGGGAGGTGATGAGGAGCCCGAGGAAACTGGAAACAGCGTGCCTCTCCCCCAGAAGTCGTGCTTGCTTTGGCCAGAAGAATGGGAATAGCTGCACTGACCTGAAAGCGTAAAAAATGGCAGATGGTCAGTTCTAACTGCATGAGCAGATAACTGGTCACGTTGACATGAGCACATAAACAGCTTGTCATTAAACATTGAATGATTCTTTCACTTGATGTGGTTGATGTGCTGTTTGTTCAGTCATCCTCATTTGTGGGGTTGACTATGACTGCAACTACTACCTGTATATGTATGTTTTTATACGTAATGCATCTGTCTACCCGCAGATCAGAATTTCAACCAAGCATCTGCTGAAAATACCTGTTTTCATGCATAGACTGTTTTTTTGGTCATGGATGGAAGGTATCTTTAACTAATGTGGTGATACTTCCATCATGCTCAGACAATTTTCTCTTCAGAAATCCAGGACATTATTGTTCCTACAAACTAGTTGTGTCAATTAACTCCTGATTTACATTATGAATGTTAAAGAGAAAACAGATCTGAAATTTTAAAAGGAATTTTTGTAAAATGAAGCCTAATTCATTGCAACATAGGTATTTAAAATATTGTTTCACTAAGCACCAGAACAAAAAACACTCTTCAGCTTTCAGAGGACTCAGCTGCTTTGCTAGTTATTTGTATTTTTCTACAGTTACTTCTTTTTTGTTGTGATTTTAGGCACACTACATTTGATCACTGAAAAACACAATAAATAATGCAGACATAAAAGCCTAAACTCTGTAATGATCACTGCTGTGTGCTGTAATGTTGTGGACTGTGTTTGCTGAGCATTAGAAAATGTATTTCTAAGAGCTGGGTTTAGTTGTTAGGTTTCTTTTTTGAGAGAAAAATGAATCTTTTTCAGAGGTGTATAATAACTGTTATACAATAACTGCGAAAAAAATTCTAATGGACCTAAAAGTATTTTTTCCCCACTTTAATAAATGAGAACTGAACTCGTGTCGTTATGAAAAGTGGTTTCTTTCCTTGTACCCTTCTCATTTTGTACTTGTTGCTTTCTCCATGCTGCGTTTCCTAAGATGATGAATATGATTCTGTGAGAGAATAAAGGGTCTGCAACTGTCAAGCCTGTTTTCTTAAAAAGAAATTAAGAATTTTGATCTGAAGGTGAGTGTTAGGAACAACTTGTGGTTGAAAATAAGTAGGTACTCAGCCAAGATTGTCCCACCTTCTTAATGATGAAGATCAAAAGAGAATACCTCCTTTTGAGTCCAAAATTTTCACTACAGCTTTTGTCCGGGTGCCAAGAACAGCGTTCACAGGGGAGTTCAGAACTACTTCAAAGACTTCATCATCTTCCTCTAATCCATCATAGGTAATTGCTATATTCCACATCTTGGTTGACATTCCTAACAGAAATGAACATTTTAATTACTCTTTAAGTGCTATTTCAGTCAATCAGGGTGTCAAAGAAATATATTAATTAACATGTCTGCAGCTAGAATGGAGTAGCTGGTGTATGCTATTGTGCTCCTACCAACTGACTGGACTCCTGCTGTTCTCCCAAATAACATTAAGTTTGAATTTGTTCCCGGGCGATGATGATTCAGTTCAAGACCATACACTGTAACAAAAAGCTGCTGTAGATGTGGGAAATGACACTACAGTACATAGATTTAGGACTTCCATTGCAATTTTCAAGAGAAAATGTATCATATGCTTTTTATCTTGAAAGCTTAATTTTAGAGATAAAGCAGTTATTTAAAATACCCGCAAATGGATCAAAGACTGTTAGATTCAAGTACAACCTTTCAGACAGATTTTATACTTGTTTACAGAATTTTTACTTGGTTGCTTGCCTTACAGTTGCTTGCTGCAGTTACTGGGTAACTGCAGGCTTGCATTATGGGAATGAGAAAAGATCATTCCAAGATGAAGGACTAGGCTGGTTTTTATCCGAAAGGCTACAAAATTTCTTGAGGAAAAGTCAGAGGCAGCAGGACAGAAACAGATCTCAATGTACATATTGCTGTCAACAAAACATCTTGGGAACTGTTTCTGCATCACAAAGCCAGTACTAACATCCAAAATAAGTATCAAAGATACATGTGCAACATCATTGTCAAAAAAAAATCTACATCCTTACAACACTTTGCATAACTTCTATTTCCTTGCTCCTTTCGAGTATGAATCCTCTAGTCAAGAGAAGCTGTCACTACAAACAGACCCATAAACTTGGATAGGGTCTTCTTCTGCTCCTTTCCATTACAATTTATTGTTTGCAGTCTAATGTGCCAATCAATCCAGTCCATTAGCATAGTTGAGGTTTGTTTTTAAAACCACCCTATCAGCCTTACTAAATAATTAATAAATGCTACTAATTAATATGTATCAGACATCTTGAATTTAGAACTAAGAAACTGATGCCTTGAATGTAATAGTATGGAGGGTCCTTCCCCAAGGTTAAGCCTAAGCAAAAGACTTTTGAAGAGAGCCACCTAAAAAAGACTGTGTGAGGGAGCTCAGCTGGCTTAAATGAGAAGCTGGCCAGAAAAGGGGAACAGTGTGCATATCTCCTGTCCATGTTCGCAGTTAATTTTCATGTGGCTTACTACCATATTCAGAAAGACAATAGCAGTAACTCCAAACTGTCCCATGCTTGGAGAATCTGCATGGACCAGCAGAAAAGGAAAATTCTAGGGAACGGCCTTGCACTAAAAATCTCTTTGCCACAATCTCTAGCCATTTCAGTCCAGAGGCTGGTAATCTTGACTGCATAGTACATTGGAGGAAAGAGAGCTGGAATCCTGGGCAGCACAGTGTGAAAGACTTTTTACACTGATCTCTCAAATCTTCCTTCCATCTTCTAATGTAAAACTAAAAAAAAAAAAAAAAAAAAAAAATTCTAGTGCGAGATAAAGGGTGTCAGAGAGTGGCTCATTTGTTTCAGAGGTTTCATGTGTGTTCCAGAACTACCGGAAATTAGAGCAGATTTCCACCTTTCCTCCCAGTTTTTTTTTACTGCTGTCTGCTGGGTGTCCTCCCTTATCCACCTCTAATCAGCAATTAGTAACCAGCAATTGCTCATTCTACACCTTTATATAAAATTTGCCTTTCTCAAGATGGGCTGTAATGGCACATTTCCAAAATAATCAGATTTGTGACTCTAAGTGAACTTAAAGCTGCAAGTTTTCCTATGGGATAGCCAAGCAAAGCTGGGGTATATATAAGTACATTCATGGGATGCAGTACTACATAGTCTCTGTAGTATGCAATGCCTTTTTTTTCAAAACAAAAAGCTTAAGTCCTGAAGTAAAAATCCTCAGGCTTTGGCTGGAGCTGACCTATTATATTCCCCATATCTGTTTTTCAAATGCAGGTAAGCACTTAGACTAATTTTTACCGTCAACTACATGCCATTTATTTCAGCCTTTCACAGATGATATATTTTGTCTCCTCTGTAGTCACTGTGACTTTCAGCCATTAAAATCTTACTGCTGGCAGTTTTGGGATAACCTCTGCTAGCATTGCAGGCAACATCCTGGGAGGCCTGTGCGGACCCCATTTTCTAACTCAGATAAATCCTGCACTATGCCAACAGGATGTGTTCCAAAAAAACTCAGAGTTGCGTATACAAAGGAAGTGATTATGATAGCAAATGGGTTTTCATTCCCAGATAATCTATTTATATGGGCAAAACCAAGTTTTTCAGGTGAAGCTGAATTTCTGAGGGGTAAATTGTGAAACTCTCACCTGGACTGTTTTTTCCCTAGACCCAGAGAGATACTCCAAGCATAATAATAATAAATTGTGCAGAACAGAGGAAGCTTTTTTCAGTATCTTCACATTTGTATTCATTTTTACTATTGATTCTCCTCCAGCAAAAAAAATCAAGCTCCTTTTGATAATACAGTTACTATCATTTCTTGCTATTGACAGCCTCAGCCAAGGTCAGACTGCTGTTACGATTACAATGCAAGCAGAGATGAGGTCTGGCAATTTTCAGGTTTTTTTGCACCTTTCGGGTCTTGGATACTTTGCATAACTTAAGTTGTACTCAGTTTTGCCTAAATTTGACCAGCATCCTGGCCAAATCTTTAAATCTTTAAAGCATCTCACAGCTCAGCTCAGGGTGAGTTCTCCCCAGCCTAGCTGTGAGGAGATTAGGAGACATCATTTCAGCACTTTTGATATTTTAACTGATGTAAAGGGACCATATGCCATCTCACCCTAAGTAATAAGGATACTAATTCACAAAGGAAGCCCACTGCACTTCCAGAAAATGAGCCCAAGTGTCTTTAATCCTATTCAGCTCCTCTAGCTACAGATACGTAATAGGTTTCATTCTCCAAAATGAGAGTTTACACTTTCAAAATCCGTGTATTAATTTTAAAATTATTCAGTGCACTAGTTCATACCTGGATCAAACTGGACAAGCTTGGAGGGAGTCACTGTAAAGTCCTTTCCCAGCATAGCAGATATTTCATTGACCTGAGAAGAAATTAAACAGTAAATGCCATGCTGTGGCCTATTTCACCAAACTGCTATATTCTGCTGTGTGCTGAAGCTGCTGTGTGCTGAAACTACTGTGTGCCTCTCCATGGAGTCTCAAAAAGACATGCCAACCATACATGTGCTTAGGCTGAAAAAAAAGATACAGGCCTAAAAAATAAACCTTGCGATGTGCAACTGTCATTCTGTCCTTGCTTATGGTTTAAATCTCATAATCAAAAAAAATTGCTCATCTTAAAATTTTGGCTTGTCCCCTCTCAAAATGCTACTTGACAGCATCAGATAACACTGTTGTTCACCGAGCCTGGGGACTGAGCCATACCTGGCTCCTGGACAGGCACGTCATCGCATGCTGGAAGAGCAGCAGCAGCCTGGCCATGTTTGCCCATTTAGTCCTCTGTGAGGTCTTGGAAGAAGCATGCAGAGCTGTCTGTCAGCCCCAAAGACTCGTTGGGATAGGCACGAACCCATACATACGTAGGTATGGGGACTCCAGTGACTCCATGAATTTTCATAGGAGACAGGCAGAGGACACCAGCTTTCACGCCATGTTCTTGATGCTGGGGTCAATTTCACTGGTCTTTTTAACCGAGTGACAACCTGAGTAGAGTCACTGGAGTCCATGAAGGATAGGGCAGGATGGCCCTTGATGAAGTCAATAGCAAAAAATTCCCACTTCTTCAGTGAAAGAAAAATCAAAACTATGTTTCCAATTAGGGCTATAATCCTCAGAAACTCTGAGGGAAACTTTTAGTATTTTTCCAGCAAGGGGAGCTGGTAAAATCCTGGAATTTCCTTTTTACGAGGAAAGATAAAATTTTTGAAGGCAGGTTGCACAAAACCTGTTGTACAAAATTATAACCTGCAGCTTTCAGTCTAATTTTTCTGACATAAGACAGAGGCTGTTATTGAAGATATAGGGGGTTCTTTGGGCTATTTCCTAGGCTGATGGCAGTGGGGGGAGAAACGGGGGAGGCTGCTACGACTATGGAGTTGGAGCCCCCATAGCTCCTGGGCTCCTCCAGCCTGAGCAGGAAAATAAGAAGTCCCAAGGCCCCAGGTTGCCCAAAGCCTGGATTTTAAAGTGGCAAATCCTAGAAACCCAGCTGCTGAGCACAGTGACAGCGGAAACTGCCTGTCTCTGGAGGTCATCAAAACTGAAATAATGCTCCAAAACATTCCAGTTTTGGTTAATCAGTGTTTCTACGTAAAAATCAGAAAGTTTTGTCTGAAATTTTTCAACCATCTGTACTAGCAAGGACAATGTCCCGGTCAGTCTGGTTTGAATTGCATGGCCTCTTTGCGGATTACCGAAACACCTTTTAAATCTGAGGAAGAAATTAACGGACTCCACTACTTATTATTGTTTCCAGTTAGGAGCTTGGCTTTTAGTTTTACCTTCACTGCGATAAAGGCGGACTCTGCAGCGTGTCCTGCTCTGGTGATTTTCAGAGACACCACTCCCACGCTCTCACACACTTCGTATTCAGTCTGTTGCATTTCAATCCGAGACCACCGTAGCTCCAGCCTGTGGGAGCGGAGGGAAAGCCCGTGTGAAGCAAAGCCACCTCCCCTGCTGCCCCCACCCCTGCTGCTCCGAGGTTCAGTGAGGAGCCATTTCTCTCCCGACTGCTGATTTAGCCAATACACATACTGAGTCTTTGTTTCCAAATCAACACATTTGTGTGATTCGGCTGATTAGAAAGAGCGAGAGGCAGTTAATAAATCTTCCAGTCGAGCCCTGGTCTACCCCAAACCAAGCCTGGACCTTGTTTCAGAACCAGGGGGGTTCTGCAGCAACTTTGAGAAAAGCAGAGTTTGTCCATAATATCAAATAGGCCAAGAGAAGCTATCAGTGTTTCTTCCTGTTCCCGTTATCCCTGTAGTTTTATTTTGCTGTCACTCCCCAGTATTTTCCCCGCAATATCCTCCTTTCTTCCCACTTTCCTTCATCTATCCCCTAACTCTCCTCCTCTAGAGTACAGGGCATGCTCCAGGACTTCACCACCTCTGTGCGAGTGCCTTCCCCACTACCCTTACCTTAATACTCTGTGTACTTTGCACTTCAGCCATGGACGTGGCTGAGTCCAGGTGTTTCATACACTGAATTTTAGAATTGTTTATAGGGGACGTGACTGAACCTCGGAGGATCGCATGCTGCACAGGGTAGCCAATAAAGATCTTGCCTTTTTAAAAGGTGTGATAAAAATTAGTGAGAGTCAGAGAGGAATGAAAGAGAGTGAAAAGAAGGAAAATGAGCTGTGCTACTTACAAAACAATTTGAACTTTTCTAAAAGAAACTTCTAGACCTTTCAGGGTTGACTAGCTTTAACACCAGTGGAAGTTTGCTCCTGTCTTCCTATATCCTCTGATACTCATGGTGTGGGCAATCCATTTAGAAGTTGATTTGCTTTCTTTTTGCTAAAGCGGCTGCATGTGCCAGATGTAGTCCAGCAGTATTCAGATAAATTCAATTTTAATAATATCAACTTGCAAATCAAACTTGTATTTTGAACCAGTGACCAATAGGTGATGTATTGTTTAAAAAAAAAATCTCTCACAAGCTTTTAAATCCAATATTAAAAATACTACTTTTTCCTTAAAAGCCAAATTCCCCTTTGTTCTAAGGTCCAGTGCAGCTCATAGATAAACTCTAATTCTCTGAAACTCCTATTTTCCATACAAAAAGTGCTTTCTCTTTGCTTTCTTTGCAAAGCTATGATGTTACGCATTGCTATTTATACACAAGAACCCACACTTTCCCGCGAGGAGTGGCAGCCTTTTGATGGTGGTTTTAATATCAGTGCACCTGTGAGCCAGCACAGCACAGCTGGGAAGTGCTCAGGCTGGCTGTGTTCAGATGTGTTTGTGTGTGTGGACATCTTTTGGCACAGCGTGTGACTGCCAAAACGCTGTCCCCAGCTCCGCTCAGTCCCTGTCCCCTCTCTGTCGTGCAGGGAAGTGCTCTGGAGAGAAGCCTGGCCCTTGGAGCCAGCTCTCTGCTCCTTTTCTGGTTTGTGAGTGGCCAGTTTAGCCCAGGAAAATAGCGTCAGTTATTTTTCTCAGTTGCTTCTGATTAAATAAATTGGTTGAACATTCAGCCCTATTTCCAGAAATAAAGAGAAACATTGCCCCTGCTGTAAAAGCTACTCCCACTTTTGGCCTTTATGATAAAAGCACAGTTCAAATGATACCCCCGTCTCTGATTTTTGTACATTAGGCTTATCATATGTCACAAGGAAATTTTGATAATACGCCTAATATAAATTTTGGCAGTGGATGACAAAGAAGATGCTGTGTGCCCTCCACCGTCTTTCAGTGCTCTTTTGCAGAAGTATGGTTCTCACAGCTTTTACTGCTGAGAGCATCCCTTCCATTGTGATCTCAAGCTTGTGAAAAAAGCGTTGCCGTCAGCACAGGGA